ACAGAGGGGGGGGTGACGCAGAGGCTCTGAGCAAAGCGTGCCGCCGAGCTCGCCGAGCTCGGAGGAGCCGTCGCACTCGGCGAGCGGTTCGCCCTGCTATTTATACCCGCCGCGCGCGAGAGGAGCCTTTCAGTATAAATGAAGCTATTTTAAAGGTCTTGGCCAGGTATAACTGGTTTAAACAAGGCCGGTAATGACTCAGAGGGCTATAAATGTCCGTCAGAGTCCTCAGCGAAGCTGTCGGGGATTGATCTCCTGGGCAAGCAGCCTCCCGTTGCAATGTGAAAGCGCGGGCAGCCTGTGCACGCTCCCGTCCCCACGCTCCGTCACCGGCCCCACCGACAGCACCCCTTCAAGCTCCCTTCGTCCACGGCCTGAGGGTTCATAGACGCAGTTCCTCCACAGTTAATCCTGGGCTCCGTCTGGGTACGGGCCCTGCGGTCCCCACGTCTCCATTCTCCAGCCGGAGGCTGTGCAGCTGCATCCCTGCTGCAGGCTGAGCATCGGCAGCTCCCGACGGGCTCGGGCAGAGCGGGATGCCCCAGCGACTGGTTTGGCTGGTCACATCTCTCTGGTTTTATGGGACGTGTTAAGTCTTTTGTAACTGGGTCCCCATTTAAGGTGATGGGGGCGATGGGCTGAACCTTGGGCGATGCGCTGGGCCACCTTGGGCTGCAGTGGGGTTGCTTTATCCCACTCCGTAATGAAAGCTGCTGCGTTCCTCCTCCCTCAGTCTCTACGGGGACTGAAGCGCCTTCAGACTACGCCAGGCTGGAAGGTTTCCAGCAGAAAGGGGTTTTGTTAGGAAATAACAGGGAGTTTTTAAAGCAGAGGTTTTTGGGAGGAGTCTCTATGTTCAATTTTTCTGTTTGTTTTCTTATTGTAAAACCAAAGACATTTCAGTTTTCAGAAACTGATAATTAAACATAAAAAATATTTCCCCTGAATGAAACCAAAACCTGAATACTTTGGTCAGCCAGGTAGAACTTCCCCTGCCTGCCAGGGCCTTTGGGGACGAAGCTAACGAAAACGTCCATGGCAGGACTTTCCTGGGAGGTGAGGAAGACTTTCTTTTCTTCCTTTCTTTTTTGACCTGGAAAGTCAGCATCGCTGGGCATCTCCCTCAGCACCTCCTTCTCCCTCCGCCGTGTGAAAGCAGGGGAGCTGGAGCAGCCCCGCACGCCCCACGCGCCAGGATGAATCCGTTAGCTCCAGGTTTTTCACACCAAGCCTTCTCCCCCGGACATCATTCCAGATGCCTGCGCATCTTGTTTACCCAGCAAAATGTGCTCGTGGAGAAAAACCAGCGCCGGGGCGTCACGTGGGCCACAGTAAACAGCCAGCAGATGCACTCTGTTTATTTTGCTTCAGAGCCTTTCCAGAAGGCACCGTTTTGCTGGTGGGCTTCTCGGAGGGGGCTTTTTCCCATACCCGCATCCTACACGGTGGCAGATTCCCGCTGCCGGCAGCCCCGCCGGGGCTCAGCAGCAGCTGTGGTTCCACCGGTGCCCATCGCACCATCCCTGGGTGCCGTGGACCAGCGAGGTCCCTACGTTGGCCTGTTGTCGCACCCAGGGGCTGTTTGCAAACGCTCTCAGGTTTCCCGGTTGCTTCTCGGGAGCTCCTTGTTCCCATCGGTACCGGGGCCGACGCTCACCGAGCATCCTGCCGATGCCGGTGAGCCGGGGGGACCTCCTCCGTCCCCGAGGGGGACAATAATGGGACTTTATTTCCCCCGCCCCCCATCACGTTCTTCAGGCACTTCCAGGGTTTTATTTTACCTTGTGGTGCCAACCACTGATTCCAGCAACTCGTTACCTTCACTGGCATGTTGAATAATTACAGAGCGGGGAGGAACGTTAAAATAGCACCTGGAGGACTGAATACGCCAAAAATAGCCACGCTGGCCATGTCCCGACCGGGGGTATGCTTGCGGATGAAGAGAGTTTGTCTGCGATGGAGTCCCTGAGAACTTGGGTCTGGGGGATGTCATTCCAGTATTAGAAAGGTAGATATCCTTGGGCTCTTGATCAGATATTAAAATTACAAAAATTTTGCATACTCCTGACTCTTCCTTTGTTAGACTTGTTAAAGCCTTGGAAAATATTTTCACGAATTAAGAAGCCCCATTAAATGTTGAATCTAATTAGGAGAGACTTGGCTGTGGAGTTCTTCAAATAGTTAAGTCAATATTATACGGTGTAATTGTGGTAATTCCCCGGCGGTGCCGCAGCTGACGACAGCCCGTTTCAGCGCGTAGGTAGCTCCGTGGATGGGGGAAAAACTCTCCCCACCACGGAATGTCACTTATTTCAATGGTTCCCATCTGAATCCTTGAATGAGAAAAGGGTCTTGTTTCCTGACACGCCCCGCAGAAATGGCAGGAACTCTGGAGGCGTCCTCAGGAGTGGGGGACCCCGGCGCACCGTGCTGAGCCGATAGCGAACGTGACCTTGGGATCAGGCCGTGCTGGAGCGCCGGGCTCTTTTTAGCTCTGCCACGGGACTGCCCAGAGGGCTTTGGTGAGGATGCTCGACCTCTCTCCAGCGTTACTTCCCCAGTTCAGAAATGTGAATCCTCCTCCTCCTCCTCCTCCTCCTCCAGCCGTCTGTTCTGCTTGTTTGAGCGAAAGCTCCTGGGGATGCCCCCGGCCCAGCAGAGCCCCTTGACCTTACAAAGAGCTCCTTCCAGGGATCCTAAAGGAACAAACTGGGGATAAAGCCAGTGAGAGGGAGTGCTGCAAGGCACCACGTGGCACAGGGGCGACGGCGGCTCCCCTGCCCCAGCTCCACCTTCACCCTTCCCTCTCCCCGGCTCAGGACCAACCGCTCCCGCCTCTTCCTCGAGTACCTCCGTGCATCGATTCCGCCGTAATTTTCACGTCTTATCAGGGGAAGGCCTCAATAAATCCCGACGGTAATTGCGGTGGCACTGTACAAGCACGCCGGGCCGTCTCCCTTCCTGGCAGGCCAGTTGCCTTTTGTCTCTAACAAGATCTGCAGCCGCGCGGACTCCTTTTGCTTCTTGTTATTGAAATGCCTCTCTTCTTGAGGGCAACGACTGCTTCTATCTCGCAGGAGAGCCCCTTCCTCAATTAAAGGGGGAAAAAAAAAGCCAACGCATTTATTTTGAAAGAGCAGTGCAATTGGGATAGTTCATTATATTGGATTAATTATGATAATTATCAGTAGAAGGGAGATAATTACCCCGGTTGTTGTCGAGAACAAGGTAAGGGGTTCTTTTTTTTTTTTTTTTTTTAATTATTATTTTCTTTTGCAGAGACCAGCCTGGTTATGCGGTGTGGGGGGCACAGGGGAGGAGAACACCAGCACCGGGGCTTCACCCTCTCCCACCGTTGGGCACGTGGTTCATCGCCGCTTGGCCTCCGGCTGCGGTTACGTGCTCACCCCCTCGCTTGCTTCCAACGCCCGGACGTGGGTCTCGCTCTGAAGCAATCCTCCCCCTCCCAGCAATGCCCTGCATCGCCCTGGCCGTACACGAA